AAGAAGACATAAAGTCAGCTCTTTTCAGTCTTCAACCAGAGAAATCCCCAAGGGAAGATGGTATGACAACTCTCTTTTACCAATCTTTCTGATATGTGGTTAAATCTGATATGGTGTCTGCTATTTTTGGTTTTTTCAACAATAAAGGCCTGTTATTTAAGTACTGAAACCACACCATTGTCTCCCTTATTCCTAAATGCAATAACCCAGAATATGTGGCTCAGTTTAGACCTATCAGTCTATGCATAGTTGTCTACGAGGTATTGTCCAAAATTATTGCTCTTAGGCTGCAGAAATGTTTGGATGTGTGCATTTAGTGACTCTCTATCTGCTTTTATAAAAAGCAGTCAACTCATGAACAATGTGATAATTGGTCAGAAGGCTTTTCACCACTTGAATAGGCATAACTCTCTTAACAACTATTTTATGGCTTTAAAACATGATTTAGTCAATGCATTTGACAGGGTTGAGTGGTTCTGCGATAAAAAAATCATGTTGAGGATGGGGTTCCATGTTGATTTTGTTGATCTGGTTATGGCATGCATTTCCTCTTCTTCTTTGTCATTCAAAGTTAATGGTGTTGTTTCTAGTTATGTGCTTCCATCAAGGGGAATAAGACAAGGGGATCGACTATCCCCTTATATGTTTATTATTATAGCTGAAGTGCTCTCTGCATTGATATCTCAATCTGTTAACTCTGGTCATCTGTCTGGTATGAAACTCAATGTATGGTCTAGCTATATCGCATCTTTTATTTGCAGATGACTCTTTAGTCTTCTATAAGGCTTCAGTGGGCCAGACCAATGCAATCATTGACATCTTCGAGAAGTACAGACTCTTTACTGGTCAATCGGTCAACATGAGTAAATCTTCAATCTTCTACAGTAGGAAGACTCCAGCGATTCTGAAATCTAACATATGCTCAACTTTGGCTGGTACTTCTTGTCACAGATCTACCAGATACATGGGACTGCCCCTTGGTATTGGTAGATCCAAACTTTATACTTTTCAGTACATTTTGGAGTCAGTTCAAAACAAAATTCAGAGTTGGTGATCGAAACTCCTCAGTCAAGCTGGGAAAGTTGTGCTTATAAAGGTGGTGCTTAAAGCCCTTCCAATGTTCTCCATGTCTTGTTTCTTGCTTCCAAAAACTCTATGTGGTAACATCATTATACTCTGTTCCCATTTATGGTGAAGTTCAGGGGAAGATCAAAATAAAGGCATACATTGAAAAGCTTGGAATTTTCTATCTTTGCCTAAGGAGGATAGAGGGTTTGGTTTCCTTGATTTAATCTTTTTCAATACAACATTGATTTGTAAGCAACTTTGGAGGATTTGCACCCAACCCCACCTATTGGTCAGTAAGATCTTGAAAGACAAATATTTCCCAAACTGCTCTTTATTTGAGGCTGTCAAAACCCAAAGCAGCTCTTGGCTTTGGTCCAACTGGATTGATGTTCTTCCCATGTTTGCTAAAAGTTTTGCAGTTGAAATCATGAATGAGGCTTCTACAAGAATAGAGGATGTCAACTGGGTGCCAAACCTAAAGCATCCAAGTCCCTCCCTTTTAAATCTGGCCAGAGGCCATCTTATATGGGTGAAAGACCTCTTCAATGATTCAGGTAGGGGATGGAACTCTCGGTTGATTAACCAGGTGTTTGATAGCCATGACAGTTAAGCCATTCTGGCCATTACCACTCTAAACCCAGATAAAGAAGACATGCGGTATTGGTTGTTTAATAAGAAAGGAGAATATTTTGTTGCAAGCACCTACTCCTTCTTGTCCCATCAGAAACTGCTTTCTATGGATTTGTCTTGCTCTAGCTCAACTGGGGGTCCATCCTTGACCAAGATTAAACAGAGGCTGTGGAAGCTTAAGGTGATTGGTAAAGTAAAACTCTTCATTTGGAAATGCATTGTAGGAGCTCTCCCTGTCAAGACCAATCTTGCTAAGAGGGGTTTGAAATTAGATTCTATTTGCAGTATTTGTGGTGAAGAACCAGAGTCTGTAGTTCATGTTTTATTCACTTGTCTAAGAGCTATCAAATTGTGGAAGCTTTCTCAGGTGACTTGGAACAAGCTCCCATATCAGAACTTTTCTTTTAAGAGTTGGTGGAATGACATTTACTCTTTGGATTACACATAGATATCAGAGGCCAGAATACAACTCACAACATATATCCTTTGGTGGCTCTGGAAATTCCAGAACCTTTGAATTTTTGAAGATTCTCTCCTTCCCATCTCAGTCACACTGAAGGCAACACATTTAGACTGAGTGTCATATTACGAGTTGTAGTTGTGTTCCTTTCTATTTTGTTTCTTTTGTTTCCCTTGCTGGTTGTTGGTTTTAGCAGTCGAGGTTCTTGCTTGAGCTTTGGTTTTTCCTTTGTTTCTTTCTCTAGGCCTTCGAGCAGTGGAGTTTTCTTTTGTTGGTTGTTCCTTTAGTTTGTAGCTTTGTTGAGGTTCTAGGCCGCTTCTTGCGTGTCTTTTCACTTTTCCTTTTCGTCGTGGTTGTACTATTCAAACTTGGTTCGCATTGAGTTATAATATCTTTAACATTTCGTAAAAAAAAAATTATGAAACCACAAAACTCTCGCTTCCTCTGCCAACAAAACCCTCGTCCCAAATCTCTTTTCCTCGCTTTCTTCGATAATTTCCGTCGGCCTTTCATAATAGCAATCGAACTTCGCCGGCGGTAGCCGGCCCTCGATCATTTGGTTTCATGCCCCTTAATTTCCGCTCTGCTACCTGCGTTCCATGGAGTTGGGCTTCATCTGCTTAGATTGGTCTTCGTATTTTCCGGCGCCGACTCGTCGATTCTTGATGACGACTTCTCTTTTGGGTGGTGGTGTATCCGTGGTGCTGTTCTGGGGGCAGGATGCGTCTCTATTGCTCAGCGTCCTTTTCGTTTGGGTGATTGGGTTGTGTTGTTTGTTCGAAGTCGTCTTCCCAAGTACTCGATTTTTGGGTTGCAGGGGTCGTCGCATCCCTTCTTCTGCCGCTGGTGTTGGTCGGACTGTTGATGTGGCGGTGAGGTGGCATTGGACAACTCCCAAACGGTTTGGGGCTGGGGTTGGGGCCATGGCACTCTTTTGTCCATTCGGAGCAATCCGGTGTTGTGGTCGTGGTGCGGGGTGGCTCGGTGTAGCTCCGGGGTTAGGGCTTCGACACCGTTAGGCAACCGAGTGGTTCGAGAAGTTTCCAGGTCGGTACTTCTGGCTGCGGGACTCACAGTCGCCTTGTTTTCGTTGGTTCGGTTTAATGTCGCTATTTTGGAAGGGCTTATTTAGTTTTGTTGCTTTTGTTTTGTTTCGCTTGGTACTTTCGGGCTTTTGTTTGTTATCCATTTGGCCTCTGTTCGCCTGAGTATCAAACTTATTATCCTGTTGGAATCCGACACTCAGGTATTCTCCTGTTGTGAGCTTTTTAGTTTTTAGTTTTTAGATCTTAGTGTTTGTTGGGCAAAAATTCAATTTTGGTCCGCTAATTTGTCCATTGTCCACTTCTGGTACACTATCTTTCACCTCATAAAAAATGATTCATTATGTTACACTTTTCATCAGTTTTAGTACACTAATCCAGTGGCCCGGGATTACGAGATGCCAAATCAGATTTTATCCTACCACGTCAATATCTTATCCCTCCACGTAGTTCCAATCCCGGTCTACGTCATCTCGAATCCCGCCAACTGGAGTAGTGTACTAAAGCTGATGAAAAGTGTATCATAATGGACCATTTTTTATGAGGGACAAGTTAGCGGATCAAAAGTGGACAATAGACAAGTTAGCGGACCAAAATTAAATTTTTGCCGTGTTTATTGTGTGCTTTTTTTGGCTTCTAGCGTTGCTAATGTCGGGATTCTAGGCGGTTGTCAGACCTGGCCTCCCATTTTATTCCCGTTGGGAGTTTTGTACTTTTATTCGCACTTTGTTCGTTTGATTTATATTAGTTCCTCTTACGTCATGAGAAAATAAATAAATAAATTAAATGTGCATATTATTATTATTAAAGAATCGAATATGTGCATATTCGGATTAAGATTCAAATAAATTTTAAATACTCAACAGTATTCGTAGTCGAATTCGAATTTGAATTTTTACGAAGACTTTACGTAAAAATTGTACAGTCTTAAAGTTTGATCAAACAATTTACCAAAAAAGCATCTAGAAACGAAAATGGACCACCGGGAAATCCTCTAAAGCTCCATCTGCAATGGGATCAAAAGCTAGCAAAGCATTATTGTAAGTTAGCTCTTTCCTCTAAAACTTGATTGATTTATTTATTTAGTTATAGGTATCCACAGATGGGAAAACATGTGCCAGAGCCACAATACATCGAAAAGTCATTGCCCACCGGTAAAGAAAAATCGTTTCAACAGTCGAACCAATCACACCAGTGGCGACAAAAACGTAAATGTTCAAGAACATAAATATTGAACATAAAAACATAGGTTTTTTTGGATTCAAATGAGACGGAGCATGAAGAAAATCCATAAACCTTCAAGCCGATTTTGCTGGGTAAGGTACGAACCCGAATCAGATATATCTTGGCTCTTGCCTGTAACTGTAAGATGACAAGGAGGAAAAGTTGCATTAGGACCTGACAGAGTTAAAGCAAGAAAAAATTGAAGAGATAAACTGGATAGCAGCCAAAAACATGTACATATCATCGAGAGCATGGTCCGTCCGGACATCTAGAGATTCCCCATAATGTAGCACGTACATGACAGCAGCAAGAGAAGTCACAAATCAAAAACACCATACAAGAATACAGCATCATATATGCCCGGAACCGTAACATATCAAGAAAGAAAACTTGAATAACTCTAACGACGTTGTATGGACACATAAAATAAAAGGTTAGTCATTTAAAATTGAACCGCATATCAGATCACCATTTTAGCAGGAAAGGAGGGAAGAGAGAGAGAGAGAGAGAGAGAGAGAGAGAGAGAGAGAGAGAGAGAGAGAGAGCTGAGAGGAAGTATTTGGAACTGCGCTCACCTAAGTTGCAATAAGGTTTCCATGGGAGACCTTAGGTTCCAAACTGAAATAGGTACGGGACACCATGCTGACCCTAATAAGATGCTCCGTCTCTGATCCAGGGTCACTACTATATGAGGATGAGTTGTGCAGTCTAAGTTCCAAGCACTCTATCCTGTTATGTATACCCCTGTCCTTGGGGTCATAATGGTACCACAACAGATACAACTTGTCACTACCAGAAGCAAAAACCCACGCATATTCTGTATCAATCTCTTTCTCGGGATTGGGATCAAAGTCGACAGGGATCCATTTCTTGTGAATTAAGTGATAACCGTGCAAAGGCCTCCGTTTTTTATCACGGCCATTGAGTAGCGTGTACATGATATCACCAACAACTGCAGCTGCAGCTGGCGTGTCGCACTCGGAAAAATCGCGACTAATAAATTCCCATTTGCGTGTAGCTAAAACATAGGCATGAAGGGCCCCGTCATCCCAGCCGGAATGCACGAGAATGCTCTTTCCAACATCTCGACCCACGTACGGGGAGACTATGTAGGGAAAACCAACCTTGTAGCCGGCAGCTGGTAAGCGGTCCCAACGGTTGGTTTTCGGGTCAAAGCATTCACCTTCATCAGGGGAATCTATATTCGAACCCCCCAACACGTAAATCTTCCCATCGATGGCGGCAGCCGCTGGCATGACCCTGGGGAAGTGCATGGGGGCAGCCTCCCGCCACCCCTCCTCCGGGCGAAGGACGTCAAAGAACCTGACCGCAGCATGCATGTTGTGGTGGTGACGTGTCACTTCAGGGCAGAACTCAGGATAGCACATACCACCGATGATGTAGACGGTGGATCCTAAAGCCACAACTGCAGAGAGCAAATAAAGCGGGAGGGGGTTTGTCATGCCGGGAGCCGGTGAGATGGTGAAATCACGCGTTTCCCCATTTTCCTTGTCCAAAGCAAAACACGTAAAGGAGGCATTGTAATCCTGATAAATCAAGTAAAAGCATTTTATCCTCTTCTCCGATGATGAGGAACAGGCACGCATAGGAGACGAGACGGGTACCTCAACAGCAAAACCGTCCATATATTCTTTTTAACTCCTTGGCTACAGAAAAAGAAAAGTTATAGCTCAAGCTAAACTCAAAGTCCATACAAAAACCACCATATATAATATACTTGGGGAAGAGATCAAAAAAAAAAAAAAAGAAAAAAAGAAAAACATGATTTTTCTACATTAAATTGTATCTCCACATGCAGGTACCTATGTGTGAGTATAAATTGTTCCCAAACTAGTGTTCAAATTAACTAATCCCAAAAACAAGGATTTCAAATCAGATATCAATAATCATACACAAAGAAATAAAACTTCAAATACTGTAAACGGTCGCCTTTGAAGCAGCAATGCATAAATTTCAGCATAATAATAATAATAATAATAATAATAATAATAAAACATGATTTTTCTACATTAAAAGTTGGAATACGAACCTTCGAGAAGATTATAATACCAACCTGCGAGAGAGAGAAGAGAGGAGACTAAGAGGAAACCTAAAATGCATCACATCTCAGACCCTTGTATTCAAATATTCCGACCTAACCAAATTAGCCAACAGATGGGCTTTAGCACTTTTCTTATCAGAGATAATTAGCCCGCACTATGGTGGGCTCTAGTATTTTTCTGGACCTACATCCAAAGTCCAAACATAGAATGGGCTCAAACAACATTTTGTGTTGTTTCACTACTCCAGTAATATTTTCTTTGTTCATGTTTGGTATTTTTTTATTATTATTTGTTGTCATATAATATTATTATTATTGTTTATAAAGTTATAGAAATAGTCATTTTTTATTATTTTAATTAATAAAAAATATTTAAATGCTTATGTATAAACTGGGAAAATGACGATCCCTACAAAACTCTAATAAAGCCTGCAATGCATTAAATGCTTGTGTATAAATCGGAGCACATCATCGCTCAAACCACCTAAACTGTCTTGTCACTGGAAAAATATGATGGCGCCGGACCCAACAAATCTTGCATGCCGCTACATGGCATGTGTTTAGTCTATGAGGTTTCCCCAACGTCATCATGACACCTAACCTTTTTCATATATAAATAGGGTCCATCACGCCTCGAGACTGATCAAGCACGTTGTAAAACCCAATAATACAAAAATTCTCATTTCACCGATCACGTTGATCGGCCCATCGCATCCCGTTTCATTGTTGTTTTCTTAATTATTGACGTTACTCATACTCAATTACCACACCCACTCTAATAAGCTCATTTGACAAATTATACTGCCAACAAATTAACGCTAGAGTGAGGGGCCCAACCCCAGTTCTATTAAAACCTCAATACAAAATCTTCAAAATTTTCCATTATTTCGTCACCATGTCCAATTCACAAGACACTAGACATCCCAACAATATCACTCGCCCTCACCTC